CACGCTGCCACACCTAATAACAACAGAAATTAGACCATCACTTCACTTTGACTATGCTTTAAACAAATTGAATAAACAAAGGCCATATATTCTATTGCAACTGTTGGGCTGCGTCCTCGGCAAAAGAAACACTTAGCTATTTATCAACTTCAAATTGTCAGCTTCACAAACTCGTTACGGCGGTTAACCTTTATAAATTTAAACAACTTTCTCATAATATAACTGGAAACCACAAACAAGTATTTTCCAATTCATCAAATGCTGGTAATACAGATCATCTGCAGCTAGTCTGTATTAACCTTACTACCTTATATCTGAAAGCAATGGAAACTGATAATTAGCAGATATTTTCCTCTGCACTGACCAATCGCTTAAATTCGATGATTGGAAATCAGTCCAACAATAAATATATGGTATTGAACAAGCGCGAGTTCCTCCACACATGAAGGTAAAAAAGATTTCTACTCAACAAAAAATTATTTATTTTGTGCAATGAATTGAAAAAGCAATTCGTTGAAATTAATTCGTGAGCGGTCCATCTTAGCGGTCCGTATTGCAAAATTCGGACCGCCCAGGGAGCCAATCAGAAATATCCTTTTCATCGCGGACCAGTCTAGCCATATAATAACATAAACAATCTATAACTGTCAGTTAATTGATATCGATTGGCATTGGTTGATCGATGACATAGCTTCAGACGGCTATCCTTCCCTTGAATAAAAAAACATGTATTCTAATAGTAAATCGCACTTTGCAATTTTAAGCAAGATCTTCCCAGCACACTGTATCAATTGCTATACTTCTTACCACATTGTTTGCCTTAAACGTTCAAAGCCTAATAGACCTTTTTCGCTTAGGCGGTTTGTTTTCCCATTACAGACCACGTGATATTCTCTAGAGAATTGGTCTTTTATCCATCTAGAAATTATTTATTCATATGCACAAGACTATTTGAAAATTTGAAAGGAAGAATTCTCAAGAGTATCATCACATGGTTTGAAATGGGGCAACAAACCGCCCAGTCGAAAAAGGTCTATTTAGCTAACCTACAATCATGGACAAAAGTCTTGGGACAAATTTGCACTTTTGGCGCTTTTGCGCACACGCCAGACAAGAATACAACTTCACCTGGCTAAACTCGCCCCCCAACCCCCATACAATGTTGAAAACTAGTACCTGCAATTTCGCCTGATTTTCGACATTGTGTTGGGTGGGGAGGGGGGCCAGCAACGCATTTTTAAAGGATATAGCAGCGTATTTTTCAAACTTAAAACACAGATAATTCGTTATATTACATAAGTGTCCCAAGGACTTTTGTCCACGATTGTAGGTCAAATGTTTTTACCTTATAATTCCGGTGGTCAAATTAAGAATACTTTACACGTGGACTTTTCGGGTTTTCCTTCGTTCAGTTTCCTTATTTTCTTTTCCTTTTTCTCTTAATTTCAAAGGATAATCAGCACTCAACTTGCAACGATTAAAAAAAAATAAGATAATGAAGAGGACTTAATACCCGCAGTATTTTATTGTCACATCTTTTAGCCGTCCTTCAAGTCCATCATCACCTTCGATGCTTTCTTTGACCTATTAAAGTAAACACATTTGACA